TAGACATGACAAGCTCAACCACTCAGGAAATATGGTGACCAAGAGATTGTATTATATATAAGGCATATTTTTCTCTCTGTAATTATGAATATGTGGAGTAATAAACCAATACTACATGAATATTTTTGTTCCTCGAGTCTTTCCCTTAATGGTTTTAGACTCACTGGTGATCTTTGCTTAATTCAATTATGATGATTATAAATACTGATTATAAAAGAGTGATTTTAAAAAATTCTAATATTCTTTCCACATACATAAAATAGTATCCTTCCAGGGGTTTTTGTAAAGAATAGTTTACATATCCGGGCATAGGGATATAGACATGTAATCCCAGTACTCTAGAAGGCTGGGCCAGGAGGATTACAAATTTGAGCCTAACCTGGGCAATTTAGCAACTAAGCAAGACCTTGTCTCAAAATAAAAACAAAGAAGAGCTAGGGAGGTAGCTCAGCATGAAGGCCATGGGTTCAATCTCCAGTACTACACAAAACAAAAGCAAACAAAAAGAATAGTTTGGTTTTTTTTCCCTACTTTGTTTTTTCATCTATAGACTCATTGATTTTTGTTTTTTCATTCATTATGTTAAAATCTGTGATCTTCAATATTCTTTTTGATTGTCAAATTGTCTTAAATTTAGTCTCCTGGAGGCTCACCTGCTCCTATGCCTCTGACATTACTACATCAGCCTTTGTGTACTTCCTCGCTGTCTGTGATAGTCACTTTTCCTAGAAGCTCCAGGATTGTAGAAAGCAAAGGTATTTAGGACCCCAAATCTGGTGTTTGGTGTGCTCACTGCTACCAGGACAACATTTTAACACGTACCTTTTTGTCTCTTGTCCACCTCCCATACCAAAGTTTTTTATTTTTTTAATTAAGGCTTTGGAAAATAAGCCAGAGGTTGAAGCTACTTCTAAGCCTATCATTTTAAGGTTCATTAAAAGCAGATTCATTTCCCATTGCACTCTCATTTTCTATTTTACTTTAATATTGTAAAGATCTATTCAATAAATGATACAAGATTACAAATGGGTGGGGCTGGGGAACAGCTCAGTGCCAGAGCACTTCCTTAGCAAGTGCAAGTTCCTGGGCTCAATTCCCAGCACCATTAAAAAAAATGCTAATCCACATAATATAATTACTACTATTTTATCCTGACTCACATCCTGTTTAGAAGCTGTTTGCATATACATGTACACAGACATACATACTGACACACTGACTACACACTAAGATTTTCTTTATTAAGAATCACAGGCTAGGGCCAGGGATTTAGCTCAGTGGTTCCGCTGTCTGCCTTGCAGGCACAAGGTCCCGAGTTCAATCCTCAGTACCAAAAAAGAAAAAAGAATCACAGGCTACTCAGAAATTGTAAATAATAGTGCATCTTTTAGGAATAAAATTCTAACACAAGATATAACACAGATGAATCTTGGGGATATTATGCAAATTGAAATAAACCAGTAACAAAAAGACAAATACTGTGTGTTTCCACTTATATAAATACCTGGAGTGGTCAAATTCATGGGGAAGAAAACAGAATAGCCAGGCATGGTGGTGCATGCCTGTAGTTCCAGCACTTGGGAGGCTGAGGCAGGAGGATCACTGCGAGTTCCAGGCCAGACTGGGCTACATAGTGAGTTCAAGGTCAGCCTGAACTACATAGCAAGACCTTGTCTTCAAAAAAAAAAAGTTGTTTTATGTATTATGTATATGTTATATATTTTTTATAACATATAGACTAAGTTATATGTATTTTACCACAATTATATGTATTTTAGCACAATTTTTAAAATTTTAAATTTATCCTTTTCAAAAATAAAAAGACAACCCAGTTTAGAAATGGGTAAGAGATTGAAAGAGACATTTCTCCCAAGATGTAAAGACCCAACAATCAAATGAAGAAAATATAAGCTGGTACACGCCTATAATCCCAGCCCTTGACAGGCTGAGGCAAGAAGATTGCTGCAAGTTTGAGGCCAGCCTGGGCCACATACTTTAAGGCTAGCCAGAACAGCGAGACCCTGTCTCAAAAAAGAAAAAGAAAAAAAAAAGGTCCATATATCATATGATTTCATTTATATGAAATGTCCAAAATAGGCAAATCTACAGAAACAAAAACTGGTTTATGGGGCTGGGACTTAGCTCAGTGGCACCACACCTGCCTCAAAAGCACAAGGTCCTGAGTTCAATCCCCTGTACCGGGGGGAAAAGAAAAACTGGCTTAGTAGTTGCCTATACCTGGGAAGAATGAGGGATAAGAATCTACTTCTAACAGCTACAGAGTTTCTTTTGAAGGTGATAAAAATGTTTTTAAAGTAAATAGTGGTGGTGTTTGCACAACTCTGAATACAGTAAAAATCACAAAATTAATCCTTTAAAGGGATGAATTCTCTAATACTGTATGTGAATTATATCTTAATGGTGTTATTTAAAAAAATTAAATATATCTTTGCTGTGGAATAACTACCATGTTTTGTTTGGCAGTGAACTTGATACCCAGAACCAAATTTCAGAGGAGGGAAAGGAAAATCATACAGTATTCCCTTAATACCTGAAAACACACCACTCCAGTCAGTTTCACAAACAAGTTGGGTACCAGCTCTCCAAAATAACTTTCAGGATCAGATGAATGGTTCCACATATATCTTTTGTTATAAATAGCACTTCAAACTTTTTGAAAGGATCTTAAGACTATAATCTTTCAAACAATCATTCATTTCTTTTGATAGTAATGCATAAAGAAACCATTCCTACTCCATGGTTTATAAAAGAAGAAAAAATAACAAACTGATTAAATCAAGGGAATAGTGTGAAAAGCTGACCTCATTTCCACTCCCATGCTCCCAATTACCTGATTTTCTGCCTTAGAAAAAATCATTTTTAGATTTCCAATGATGAATGTCATTATATTGTATACCTAAAATGTACCAATAAAATTAATTTTTATAAATCTTTTATAAAAAATTTAAAAAATCATTTTTAGTTTTCATTTCTATAGGGTAACATGTATATGTGTGTGTATATTTGATCTTTGTGTATTACAGAATACACTAAATACTCTTTGCCCTCTAGATATTTCTTGTAGACCTTGCCACATTTGTTTTTGCAGAACTTTCCTATTTAATAGCTACTATGATTGTACTATAATTTATTAATAATCCACTATTATTCAACTATTAGCCATTACTGCTTTTTTCCCCTATTATAAATAATGAGTCAACAAATAACTTTAGATAAGTCATTTTGCACTTGTGCAAGTATATCATGGAATAAATACCTTAAAACTGGGAAGTTTAAGATCTATTTATTTCACATATTGATAAATACTGGCAAATCGCCTTCCAAACACATTCAACTTACTCTCCAACCAAAGTTACTGCTATGTGACTACCAGCTTCCTTTTTCCAATATAAAGCAGCAAGCTTTATTTATTTATTTATTTTAGGTTTTTTGAGACAGGGTCTCGCTTTGTAATGCAAGCTGGCCTTGAACTCACTGTGCAGCTCAGTCTGGCCTCGAACTTTCAGCCTCAGCCTCCTGAATGCTAAGATTACAGGAATGAGCCACCACGCCCAACTGAAAATAGCAAACTTTTAAATATGACAATCAAATATGTGACAAATGGTATGTCACTGTAGTGCTAATTTGAAATTTACTAAAGATGATACATTTTAGCTATCAACATCATTATGTACTTATTTTTCAGTGTGCTATCAGTCTTGTCCTTTACTCTTGTTTGATTTATTTATTTTTTTACTTATTAAAGGACACATACACATATATGGGTGTGTATGTGTGGGTACAGCAATTTTCCTTATGCTGTCATATGTATTACAAATACGTTTCTCAATTTTTCTTTAAATTTAGCCCATAATACTTTTTATCTACAAAAGTGCTAAATTTTAATGTTGCAAAATATATCAGGATTTTTTTATGGTTCTTCTGTGTTTCTGTCATGTTTTAAAAAGCCATTTATAGAGGCCGGGGATTTAGCTCAGTGGTTCTGTCGCCTGCCTCTCAAGTGCAAGGTCCCAAGTTCAATCCCCAGTACCAAAAAAAAAAAAAAAGCCATTTATATTCAATTTCTGTAAATAAGTCCTACATTTTCTTTTAGCATTATTATCAGTTCACCATAAACACATATGTAAGTTTTATTTAGGATAAAGTTTAAATAATAGTTTTTCCAGGGGATGTCGCTCAGTGGTAGAGCTCTTGCCTCATATGTACCAGGCCCCAGGTTCAATCCATAACACTGCAAAAGAGGGAAAAAAAGGAAAAGAAAAGAAAAAAGAGCTTCTCCAACCCAAATAATTAAAAAGAATCAAAAAAGCTATTGTATTCTCCACCAAAATCCAACAGACTACTCATTCAAACAGCTGACATTTAAAACCCAAGAAAATTCCCAGCAGAATAAAAGTGCTAGATCACTTCAAATAGATCCTACTCAAGGTTATGCAGCTTCATAGTTGCTATACTTAACCATTCCCTAATGATTTTTCCAGATAAAATGTGAAATATTCAACTTGAAATTTCTACAACACGCCCAAATGCACTATTTAAAGTAGTCTTTCCCTTAACTCATGACTAAATAACTGTTATATTCAAATTTTACACGTCATAGGTACTAACAGATACAAGTTTTTTGGTTTTTTCATTTTTTTGAGACAGGTTCTGGCCATGTAGTTCAGGCTGACCTTGAACTCACTATGTAGCCCAGGCTGGCCTCAAATTTGCAGCAATCCTCCTGCTTCAGCCTCCCGAGTGCAGGGATTACAGGTGTGCGCCACCATACTCTGCCTTTAAACACAAAGTTTTAACACAATTCCTAACAAGAATTCCTTCTAGATATCATGTATTAAAAAAATAAGATGCTTATTACCAATTTACATAATTCATAGATTATAAAATTGATATATAAAACTTTAACCCTTCTTCCATGAAGAAAATTATTATAAGAAAAATGTGATCCATTTGTAACTAAAAGAAAAATGTTAACTTACCATATGTGGAGCACTGATTGTTGCTTGGAAACCTGTAAAACAAGAAGAGAACTACTGATACACTCAGCAGCAAAAACATACTGAATATTTCAAGTAGTTCCATTCCTAACATCCATACATTGTTTTTCACAATTTTGGGGTTTTTATAATCTCAACAAAACAAAATTTGTTAGAGTACTGAAACACAGCAATTAAAATTAGAAAACACAATCATGCTAATGACTAATGTGCTCATCTAGTAAATTAGTCCTATCATTTCTAAAAATTTCTTATGTATATATATAATTAGCTAAATAAGGAAAGATTTTATTTAATAAGTTTAGAACTTGCAGGGGTTTTTTAACTTATTTTTTTCTTCATAAAAAAGAAAACAGACTTCCATATGTAATTAGTATACAAAATCTTTGCAAAATTAAACTGTTTCATATTTCTGGCATCTTTGGGGAAAAAAACCTACACAATCAAAGTAGCTTAAGTGACTAATAAACTCCTTCAATTTACTAAGTATCATCATTTACCGTTAATTCACACACAATTTTTCTTAGTTTTTAGCTCTTTTCTTCCAGTATTACTTCCTCAAAATTTATTTACCTGCTTCTGTCTCTGAAGCAATTTTCACTGAGCGGTGGTAGCAGGTGCCTTCGGGGTTCAGAAGCTCCCCAGGATCTTCTTGCTGACTGTCACAGTGCTTCAAAAGAAGACAGCATGGCAGCTGGCCGACAGAATCCTGAGGCACTTCTAAGCCTCAAAGGCGCCCACTGCCAAGGCTCAGCAGAGTTCAGCAAAACCTGCTTCAGGAGAAGGAGTTAAACATGGAACTTTCTAGAAACAAACACAAGCCCCAAAACCAGGGCAAGTAAAGCCAAAAGGCCACTAATAATTATGCTTTATTTTCTTAAAATATTGATTTTTAAAAATGAATGCCTATGTCAAGCTCAACATTAAGGCCTGCAGAAAAAATTTAACATTCATCTAAAACAATCAGTTTTCTTTGAAAGTCTTTTTTTCACTGAAATATTAAGAAAAAATTTAATACTCTTTATTCATATTATACATGGTTTAAAAAATATAAATAGATATTTTATTAAAATTACTATATCTAGGATTATGAAATTCAAAATTAGCAGGGTAATAATAGATAAATAACTATCTTCTGGTCCTTTTCAAATTATAAACATTATAGAATAAATGAAAAATGTAGCATTTTTAGAAATCAAATACATACCTATTGATTGTGGAGAATCCATATAAGGGTTACATTTTGCATAGTGGGAGCGGTCTGTAGCCAGCATCACTTCAAATACTTTATCTGTCTTGATGATTCCATTTTCTGAAATGAATGAGGCAAATATTTTAAGCAAAGTAGTCACATTTTATTTTATTTTATTTTATTAGCTTTTTTTTCCCCATTAACTTTATTGGTACATTTTAGGTATAAAATACAGTTACATTCATCATTGGGACCTTGTACCATTACATGAGTCTCTTGGT